CCGTCTTCCAGAAATTTTTAATATAAATGAAATCAGGTTAAGATAAAGATCAAGGAAACCTAGGAGTGGAAAGAATGCCTGATGGGTTCTTTTTGAGGATGGGGAGAAGCAGCCCCATCTACTTTACTTTGGTGCTGGTGGACTACAAAATCCTCAGGTCTTCTTCAAACCACTTGTCCCTTCTCTTTCCTTAGATGCTGCCTCCATCTTATGATGAAAAATGTTATCCAGCTCCAGAGAAAGAACTGATAGAGTCAATGCAGATCGAAGCATACATTTTAAACTTTATTTCTTGTTTGTTTTTGGTCAGTGTTTTCTTTCACAATGTGACTAATACTGAAATATTTTGCATGACAGTACATGTAAAACCTATGTCAAATTGTTTGCCTTCTTGATGAGGGGGGAGGGGAGGGAGGAAGGCAGGAAGAGAATCTGGAATGCAAAGTTTTTAAGAAAGGAATGTTTAAAATTGTTTTTATATGTAATTGGGGGAAAAATAAAATATCAAATAAAAAAAAAAGACTGTACCTCCATGACTCACTTCCCAGCCACTCCCAAAGTCCCTGGCCCTGGGGTGATGGCCCCAATTCATTGTCCCCCAGCAATAGCTTTATCATCCCAGATGTTGCAGGCATTCTTTGTTAGACTACATAGCCTACCACATTAAAGGAACCAGATTAAAAACACAATCTAGGAAAATGCTTGGTTACACAGTCAGAGAGCAAGGAGAGAATGCTACAAAAACAAAAGGTTCAAGGAGGAGCAAATCATTGGGATAGAGTCTCTTAGCAACCAGGAAAAGCCCAGAGAGAAAAACGAAAGGCACACCACCGGCACAAAAAGAGGCACAGGATTTTCCTTTAATTACCTTCTGACTTAGGACTAGGAGTAGATGCAGGAAACTGGTAGGTAGGAGAGTAAGGATTGTCTTCTGTAGCAGAGAAAAGCAGTGGATTTTTGAGATTACCCACCAAGAAGGAGAGATACTGACAATTCCCCTGTTGGCTATTTCAAGTAGCTTTGTTATCTCTTTTAGTGTTATTAGAACACATGGGCATCACACTTAAAAACAGATTAAGAAGTTAGAAAGGGTTCAGTCCTCTTAGAGATCATATCATGCAGATGAGTGAAATAAAATTTTTGTCAACAGAAAAGGACTAAAAAAAATCAATTCTAAATGCCAAATCTTATTTCTAAAAATAATAAATAAATAAAGCCCAGAACTATAAGAATTAACATAAGGAGCAGCAAACAGATAAGCTTATGTCTAAGCTTATGGTACCTTCAGGTTTTTGCTGGATTTCAGGAAGTTCAGGGAATTTGTAGGTGGGGAAATAAGGGTTTTCTTCAGGAGTGTCTATATAGAGTTGCAAGTGTTAGAAAAAGAATAGAGGAAGATACAAATGGAGAAAATGAGTGGCTGAGAATCCATACGTATACAGTTCAGAAAGATTCCTGGAATTGAGGAACATACTGTATTTCAGTTAGTAAGAGCCAAAGAATCCTAAGTGCTCTTGGGGGAAAAATATTCAGTCCATTTGTCTGAGTTATGGATACGCCCAAAGAGATGGCGAGAGAAATTCCAACTCCCGTTATTGGCCATGCACAGTTTCCAGCTTTGGCTGCTTCTATAGGTTTCAAAATATCACCCCGATTAAATGATAGGTAATGAAAGGGTTTAACATACAAACATACTTACATTATAGCATATTTCACAAAGACATTCACTTTAATAAATAAGGCAAATGATCAGATTCCCAACTTGCCAAAGCCTGGATAGATCACTATTGCCTAGGGCAGAGAGGGTGCTTTGTTCAGAGCCTCTCATTTTGGGTTGAGTTAATTGCACAGGGAATCAAAGAATCCCATTGGGATGGGTGCGCCGCCATCCAACACTCCATGGATTTCATGCCCCCGTGATTTTGCATCTGGGCAGTGGCACTGCCAGGATGTAAGCAGAGATGTAAGTCAGGACAGAAGCCAAGAGGCCATGACCACACCCACTGGTCTGCCTAAAAGCTACTGGACTGGAAGTCCAGGGAACAAAAAGTGACTTTGCTAAATGCTAAGGGAACTATGATTGATAATTAAACAACAAAGGGATGAAAACAATTAGCTGCACCAAGGCTATACTTTAACATACAAGACTATAGGACCTATTTACTTACAGGATCAATACTCATGAATGGGCATTCCGATAGGTAGAAATAGAGGGTGTCCCAAAAGTCTTAGTGCAGTTTAAAGCTAATTAAAGCTTATCGAAGCTTAAAACTGCAGTAAGACTTTTGGGACATCCTATATAGCAAAATTAAAGTGCACTTGAGTTCGCTTTTAATATTGTATTTGCTAGTTATTAATGACATTGGCTCTTATAAGCAGATTATTTCAAGGCTGTAGAGAAAATATTAATTTGAGATCCATTTCTTATATGCACTATCTACAGAAAGCTTTCTTGATGTCTTACAATGCTGTCACTGTCAGAGGTACGGTCTTGACTTAGCTATATGGAGGAGGGATGTAGCATGGCCAACATTTGGAAGAACCCACATTCTCTCCCACTGGGAAAGAAGATGCATTCCTGCCTGTCATCTTTTTAAGAACACATGAGAAAACATGGCAAAGATTTGGAGAGATTCTGCATATGGCACCATGCTGGGGTTCTCTCAGCAGGCTGGTTATCAGTCAGCATTTCAGGGTGTGATTAGACTTGGAAGTGGACCTTCTCCAAGTGAACTGTGCTCCCAGTGTGAGCAAGGGTTATTCTGGTGTGGGAACTCAAGTCTGGTTCTGGAGGCAATTTGCCAAGAACCATTTTCCAGCCTGAGATAATTATAATTAAGAATAGTGGTGGTAATTATACCAACTTCCATCTGTATTGTGCTTTCTGAAGCACTTGGTCACAAATTCAAACATAGGTTCCCTAAGAGATAGTGGGCAGCATACTAGACCTGGAGTAAATAAGAATAGGGGTTCAAAGTCCCTAACTCTGTGAATCTAGGTAACTCACTTAACCTCTCTGAGACTCAGTTTCCCCATCTGAAAAAAAGGGTTTTAATACTGAGTGTCCCAAAAGTCTTAGTGCAGTGTTAAGGTATTAAAACTTAAAATTGCATTACGGTTTTGGGAACACCTAGTCCTTGCAGTGCTTACCTCCCAGGGTTATTGTGAGGCTCAAATAAGAGGCCAAAGCACCTGGTACGCTTTAAAACCCTACATGAGTAGGAACAGGGACTGGACCAGTGATTTCATTAACATAGGGAATTCCCAGATAAAGGAAATTTTCTCTACCAAAGCAGTTTGGTATCTTCTCTGCCATTTATAGTCATCAGTGAATGGCTAAAAACATCAGATGAGTTGTCTGAAGGTCACACAGTCAGTATAGGTTCATGTCAAGGCAACACTTGAACTCACATCTTCCTGGCTCCAAGGTCAGCTCTCTAAGCCATCATATTATATTGTCTCAAACTATATAAATGATGGTTATTATTATTATTGTTATTGTTGAGTAAGTAGGATAGGAAACAGAGAAGTTAAAAACTTCTGCTTTTTAACCAAGGTATTCTTTCCACACTTCTATCCCCATGGCCATCACTGGCTGACACGCTGGAAGAGCACACCAAGAAGAGGACACACAGCTTAGCTTCCCACCACCATGTGTATGACGGGGGCTGGTGCGCAACCTTAGACTTTGCTCATCACAACCTGCATCCCACAAGTGACTGAGAAAAAGGACTTTACAGCAGAATTCCAAACTTCAAGTACGAGGCAGTTACACGAATGACCTTCCTCTCCAGTTCTTGGAGATGTGGGGGTGCACCATGGCAAACAGATGCTTAACACAGCACTTATTTCTAGCCTCTGGTGAGTCTAAACCCTAATCATTACAAACATAATGTTGACAGAGAGATTCGTCAAATTAAAACCAATACCTCTGTTAAGTTTGTGGATCTGTTTGAACATCGTCTTATACCAGTCTTTGGATCTCTCAGTATTCTAAATGAAAAAAAAAGAAAGAAAGAAAAAAAATATAATCAAAATCTTATGACTTAGAACTTTTGTGATTATTACAGATATAAAAATCACATAGGCTACTACAAGTAAGCTGAAATATGTGAAACGTCAAATCCATCTAAATCGCTTTTCTTAGCTTGATGATTTACATTTAGACCTCTATTTTGATTTATTTTTTTTAATCTTGGATTTTCAATATAAACTAAAATATCATTCATAAAAAAGGTATACTTAAACTCTTCTTTGTCAATGCTTAATACCTTTAATTTCTTTCTTGCCTTATTGCTATAGCTACATTTCTAGATCTATGATTGTTAAGGAATGTTAAGGGGTCCTTTGAACTTGTCTTTTTGAATTGCCATATTTTCCATAAACATTGCACCCAGAGCATGCAGGAGACCCTGTTGTGTCAAGGAAGAAGCCTCATGTTAATAATAATAATAATAATAACAACTCATATTTATACAGTGCTTTAAGGTTGTTCAAAGCACTTTACAAATATTGTCTCATTTTATTTTTCCAACAATCCTGGGAGGTAGGTGCTATTATTCCCCACATTTCACAATTAAGGAGACTGAGGCAGACAGAGGTTAAATGAATTTTCTTGGTCACACGGTTAGTAAGTGTCTGAGTCAAGTCTTCATCACTCCAAATCCAGCAGTCTATTTACTAAACCACAATTAACATCAACACTACCCCCAAAAACCAAAGTTAGCACTAGAGCAAGATATCATGGAGAATAAGCTCCCAAAAGGAAAAGAAGAAGAACAATTAGGGTCAGCATGATAGTTGTCTTCTTGAAAGACTGCAGTGTGGAAGAGCAATGAGTCTTCTTCTATTTAGCACGAGAGAGAGGAGCTAAGAATCATGGGGTAGCAACTGTCCACAGGCAAATTTAAACCTAGTGCCAAGAAAAACTTCCTAACAATTTGGTGTCACCAGAAGTATCCACCTATCTGGGGAAATTCTTCCAATTCCATGAATCCTTGCTTGATCGCCCCAGTCAGAATTTATTATTTTTCCTCCTTAGAACTTACAGAATACTTTTTATTCTGAATACTCTCGGTCGTATATACTCAATATATCCTATTTTTACCTTATGATTTACTGTTTCTTATCTCCTCCATGAGATTGTAAACAACTTAAGACAATTCTTATTTATCTTTTTCTCTCCTTATTACCTAGCAGAGATGCTATGTCAGGGGTAGGGGAACCTGAAGTCTTGAGGCCGCATGTGGCCTTTGGGGGTTTGTTCTATGAAGTCTGGATTCAGTCAAAGGGCTGCATTTGAAGACCTAGAGGGCCACATGTGGCCTCAAGGCCGCAGGTTCCCCACCCTTGTTGTTGTACACAGAAGGTGTTTAATAAATGTTTGCTAAATAAAGAAACTCAGAAGATAAAAGGATTCTAGATGTATTCTATGTTTATGGTTGGGTCATTATAGTTTACAAACAAGAAGACATGGAAATAATCACTATGGACCATTTTGTGATTGGCCATGAAACCATATTGAAGGTCTTTTTAATTATCCTTCCTGTCACACATACATATAGACAGATAGATAAATGTAAAATATACATGGTGTGTGTGTGTGTGTGTGTGTGTGTGTGTGTGTGTGAGCATGTGTGTAAAACTGGTGACATACATACTGTACTGTTTGTTTTAAGACTTGGCTTAATAATGGCTCTCAGAAAGGTGCTCATACCCTTAGTGGAATGCCCACTTCATCCATGGAACCATCACTTAGGCACTGAGGGCTCTTAACTAGTCTTCTACTTTCATCCTTTACTGTTTTATCTGGTCGTGTGCTAGGCAGAACAACTTTCTCCCATGTAGGCGCTGAGTCTACTTTCTCTTCATTCCTTCTCTCTGGTGCGGGATCTGAAATTGAAGGGGAATTGTATTATTACTCTCTTTATCACAAATGCTTCCCAATACCTGGCCTCAGTCATAAGTGAGATCTATGGAGGCTGAACAACTTATTCTAGAACTTTGGAAATGAGACAGGATCTGGTGCCACATTGATGCCTAAATATTTATATTCTTGTAGTTCTTAGTTTAACTTATTTTATCTAGAGGCTGAAGAACTAGATATGCACAAAAGCTGGACATGCAACCATTTCTACTGATTACACAGTCATAATTAATTTCCTTATGACCTTCAATAAGCTTGACTGGTTCTCAAACGTAACTCTTAATCACAGACATTTTAACTTGTAAAGGGATTTCTCCCTTAAGCATATAGCAAGGATGTCAGCTTAAAATTTGGGACAAATATTTGACCTCACTCAGGTCAACAAAGAGAGGTGTTTCTGGTCCATGGATTATGGTGGATGTGAAAACAGCCTGCAAACTAGAGTGTTATACAAATGTGAAGATTTAAGATAAGTAGTGGAAGGAACACTGGATTTGGAATCAGAGGACCTGGGTTTGAATCGTGGGTTGAGAGCACTTACATGACATTAACCTCCCTACACCTCACTTATAACTGAGGGCAGAAATAGAAACAATAGGAGTCCAAGCTACAACGGGACAGATTTTGGCTTGATGTAGGAAACATCTTACTAAGAGGTTGAGCTGTCTAACATGCAATCAGTTGCCTGAGGAGAGAGTGGGTTTCCCCCTCACTAGAGGTCACATTGCCAAGCCTGAATGACCACTTCTCAGTGAAACTGTAGAGATTTCTATTCAGGTAGAGGTTGGACTATAAGTCTTCTGAGGTTCCGTCCAACACTGTGATTCTTTGGGGAACATGAAGAGCTGGTGAAAGATTTATCTCTGCCCTTAACGCTGCAATAATGAGCATTCTCTTCTCCCAGGGTAGGGCTGTCTAAAGGTACATACCTGGAAACATGTGGCTCCTTGTGAAATTTAAAATTTTTTAAATTGGTGCAGCTAGGTGGTGCAGTGGATACAGCATCGGCCCTGGAGTCAGGAGGACCTGAGTTCAAATCCGGCCTCAGACACATAATACTCACTAGCTGTGTGACTCTGGGCAAGAGTCACTTAATCCCAATTGCCTCACTCAATAAATAAATAAATAAATGAAATTTACAAAATTTAAAATGCAAAATTCTCATCAAACAACCTGCTTGTAAAAGTCTTAGTCTGACAGCAAAACATTTTGGGCAATGAATAAAAAAAAAATAGTCATATGTGGACAGAGCTATAGCTAGTAATTCTAGCACACAAGATAAGCTTCACAAAACATGGCAGTGGCAAGCAGCATGAAACAAATACACTTTTAGGAAGCATCATGAACGATGTGCTCAAATCAGCTTTTTAAGACAGACTCAGTCTGACGCCTTGAGGCCACTAATGGCGAGGCTGATACCTGAGAGAGTATGGCCAGGGAAAGAAATCATTTGGGAGAAAGCCACTTTCTTATCTTATTTCTTATTTTAATTATTCTTGCTAAAGGTGATGAGGTCAATCATTTCTACCACAAAAGGAATGTTGTCAGTGCCCTCTACATTTTTGTACACTGGGACAAAGCCTTAGTTGCCCCACCCTAGTTACGGCCATGCACACATGTAGCTCAGTAATCACCCATAAACATTAGGCTAAAGAAATTCAAAACCCCTAAAAATGAACAGAAAATGAGTGGAAAGGCAACCCTGGTCTGAAAGCACTGAAGACAAATTTATAATTTTGCTTCAAAGGGTCTTCTATCCTTTAAAAAACAGCCTAAAGTAATTTATAGTAGATGCTCAGTTATAATTTGAAATGTTTTTAAATGGAGTAAGATACACTGAAGGTCAGATTGTACTCCCCAACAACACACAGTCAAAATCCAACATAACACCCTTTGTTTGCAATTCAGGTGTTTGTCCTCTACCCTGAAACCATTATAATGAGTATTTTCTGTATTTATGATAGAAATACTTCAAAGTGTCCAAAATATTCATCCCTGGTTTTATCAAGCACTCTTTCTTCATCTTCACTGGGGGAAAAATAAGTTTTACAATTCATATTTTTTTTTTAAAGTGGATTTGTTTCTATGTTTACTTTCTCGATCCTGGGAAAGGACTCCAAATGTAAATGCCATAGGGCAAAGGTTGGCAATGTTTTATTCCAGGAGGGCCTACTGTAACCATTTTCAGCTTGATCTTTCCCCTTGGAGAAAGCCTTCTAAGGCAGCATAATTCATTCTCTTGGCCTATGCAGACTGGAGGAGCTTCCTTTTCCCTTGATACCAGATTCTCTTGCATATCTGGGCAGACAGATGCCCTAGACAACCAGAGAGTTGTCCCCTAAAACTATACGTTCCCTGTATGTTTTCTGGCAATGGTTGACAAATAAGCCTCCAATTCCTTTCCTACACAAAAAAAACATAGGGACGCAGAGCAAGTATACCCTAGGGAAGAATAAATATACTTTTCAGCCTTCCCCTGACATGTTTTTCCACCATATCCACTCTCAGAATGCAGGGCTACCAACCATGTTTTTGTTTAGAAACTCTGCCGCTGCACATAGGCCTAATGGCTGAGCTTGGTGGGAAGGCATTCTTCCTTGAAACTTAGAAAGCCAAGAAAGGACCCGGAGACAAATCATCTTCTCACAGCTCTGTGGCACCTCTGAATGGTATGCTAGTCTTTATTTCCTAGTTTGGGGCCAGGAAATGGGTTAGGCAATAGACAAAAATATGAAGATGGGCAAGGCCAAAATCAAATTAGGCATGATTATAGCTCAGCATGGTCCTGATTGTCAGTTACTAAAACTAGGGAACAAATGTGGGGCAAGGCCTATATATAATATTAAGAGAACTGTTGTTTCTTTGTTCAACATATCAGCTTATTAATGAGATGGCAATAAGATTTGGTGAGATTTAACCCCAGCAGAGCAGGGTTAAAAATGAGTAGAGATAACCATTGGCTCTTATGGAATCAGGATAAAAGATTCAGAGCAGGAATCTTTCAGCACTCTCCAGTCCAACTCCCTCATTTGACAGCATGATTTAAAAGGTAATTCCTCCAAATGTAACAAACCTGGACTTATCATGATCTGGTCCTACATTTCATTGGTCCCTCCATCACCCTACTGATCTTTCTTGCTTTGACCTTGATTCTCTGTGATATGGTTTCATTGCCAATAGTCAAAAGGCCAACTGAACATTTTTGATACTTGCAGAAGTCATATGCTCAGGTCTTAAACCAAAGGCCAGGAAGTATCCTTTGCCATGATGGTTTTCTCTAACCATTATGATTGCCGGCCCCTAGGAATTGGGTGATGGGACCCTATCAAAGCCATGACTGTGTTAGAATCTGGGGAATTACTTTAAAAGCAGGTAGCTAGACATAAAAAGTGAAGAGAGTTCACATCTTCCCATAAGAATAACCAATTACCATGTTATAAGAGAGCATCAAGATGTTTACCTGATTCCAACAATTGGTAAATAGTTATGGTTGGTAGTGGATGTTAGTTGCAGGTGATTTTTGTGAATGGAGTTGAGTATGGGGAAGAGAGTAAGTTTGCAAAAGCATGTAGCATAATTGGTTAATTAACTAAAGCATCTCCAGACAGCAGAGTTGTGAGGCAGCATGTGAACAGAAGTGTGCTTGGTTATGAATCTTTAGATAATTTAAGGTGAATTTTGGGTCTTTGGGTACAGTAACCTAGACATTTCAGGCTGAGAGAGGTATACAAGGGTACCAGCAGAGCCAGAGTGTGTGAAGTATTCAAATTTGAGAGTGGGAAGTGGGACTCCTATAAAAATCTCCCTAGTCAGGGATAACATGATCTGTGAGGAAAAAATAACTCATCTGTACATAGTAACACAACTCTAATTTCTTACAGATAAGTGAAAAGATACTGAGAAATATCTTAAGAATAGTTCAGTATAGTCTGGGCAATGTACTGGTTGCCAAGGGCACTGTTTGACAGTTGAAAGAGAATGGGAGACTTTGTCCTAGCAGAAGGAGCATTTGAAAGAAAGAGGGGAAAAGGGATTACCACTTACCTGTTAGACTATTAAGCCGCTTCTGTTGCTCTGTGATAAAGGAGGAAAAAAGCAAAAAGTGAGTGAAATGCATGGTACATGAAGGGTAAAGAAGATCTGGTGACAAGTTATTCTGTTCTAAAACTCACTAACCTTTACTATCCTTTATTTTCAGATGCCAAAATGAAAAACAACCAAAAATGCCAAAGAAGGTTTTACAGGGGGTAATACTGAAGCTCGAGCTCTGACACCTATCACCAATGTGTATTTATGAAGCACCTACTATGTGCCAGGCACTGTGCTAGTTGTTGGAAGCACAAAGACAAAATGAAAAACAACCCCTGCTCTCAAGAAGGCTCCATTTTATTGGCTAGATACTACTTTGAAGGGGATTGATTAGGGGATTCACTGATCAATTTGTTGAGTATCCCTTAAATGGATGTGATAAGATTATAGAGTACGGACCTGGCCACAGTCACTTGAAGGGGATCTACCACAGAAGTGGATATTGGGCATCGACACCTTACAGATTGGGCTTCCGAGACAGAGGCTGCCTCCTGATGACCAGACCACTGAGGCTCAGGAGCATGGACTGTTACCAGAGGACAGTGCCTGGCACATAGTAGGGTCTTGATAAATGCTTTCTGACATGACTTCATGGAGGAGCTGCCCCCTTCCTAGTCTACACGAGGGAGTTGGGATTACTCTTTTCTTGTACTTTTTCTTTTGGATGTCCTTCCTGTAAGCAGAAAAGGATGACTTTCAGGAGAAACTCATGGTGAAAGTCATGTGCTTGCCCAGGGAAGCCTGAGAGGGGAGTTTCTGGACACAGGTTTCCAGGTTAGTTTCTTCTTTCTTTCTGTTTCCTTTTATGAGGTCAGAGATAAATAATTCCAAGAATGGATATCTCCAGCCTTGGAGATTACTTTGTAGGTAATCCTCAGGTTCATAAATTCCTGAGTTAGAGAACTTGGCCTCTCAGAAGGAAAAGCCTTCTTTAATAGCATATTTCTCAGAAAAAGGAGGCCCACCGATAGGCTGCTTCTGAAGCTGACATGCCACGAAGGGCCTGGAGATACGCGCCATGCCAATCCGGCATAGTATTGCTGTAAATTGCTCAGATGTTGCAAGTCAGAGGTGAATGGGAAATAGTTGTTCACCACTCCCACAAAGTATTTTCCTTCACTTTCCAGAAGTGTTTGAGCATTCTATGTTTCTGTGCATATTCATGGGCTCCTATGAGTTCTTGGAGTCTTATGCAGTTTCTTTAGTGGGATAGTAAAAAGCTGGCCCCTTACTTAATAGCTAAATTATAAAGTGAGTACCCTGATACCTACATTTGGGAAATTCATATCTAAGATGTATTTTAGAGATTTTACTGGAGAAATTCAGTTAGGGGCATAAGAAACCAAGGAGTCAAACTGACCCCTCTTGGGTCAGGTCCCCAGGAATAAAAGTCATCCACATGAACCCAGAGTCCTTTGGAGGGCCCTAGACTACTCTTTGGAGTAGTCTAGGAACACATACGAGTATGTAAACACAGAAGTGCTCAATTTTACCCCTTTGCTACAAAAAATGCTAAATGCAAAAATTTGCCCCTTTGCTAAAAGATACCCCTTTGGAATATTCTGGGTACGAGTAAGTGAACACAGAAATGCTAAACATTAGCTAAATCAGCCAAAAATGCTAAAAATTGCTAAAGTTGGAACAACCATAAAAATAAATATAAAGCACATGCTAGACTGTAAATACTTTATCAACATTAAAAAAGCTTCCCACTTGCCTCTGCTCTCACCCCCATCATCAGCTGACCTGAAGTAAATAGCAATAATTTTAGGAAGCACATATCTTGACGAGACTATCACTGGACAGCTATATTCGATTCAACAAACGTTATGTTCCAGAGAATCAACATCTTACAGTGGAAAAGGTACTAGATTTAGATTAAAAAAAAATCAAGTCTGAGTTTTAGTGCTAACTGCCACTATCCTGTGTGACTATGAAGCAAGTCACTTGACCTTTCTGAGCCTCGGCCTCCCAAATTTTTAAAATGTGGAAAATTGTCTCTTCCCTACTCAATCTCTTCCCACATTAGAGACTGTGGGAAGAACCAATGGGAAAGTGTTGATAACATGCTTTGGGGATAAAATGTTGTTATTATTGAGATAGAGATAGCTAGTAGGCCAGCCAGACAGGCAGGCAGATATCATTCTGTTTTGTGTGAAATGCCTTCAAAGAAAAAAATCTGGATGGTGTACAGTGTTTAAGACTGGAATTCAGAAACCCAGGATTCCAATCCAAGCTCTGGCACTTTTATATGAACTTGGACAAGCCCTCTCCTGTCCCTGAGTCTCAGTTTCTTCCTCAGCAGAGCAAAGGTAGAACCAGATGGTCTCAAAGGTCCAGTCCAGATACAATGTTCTATAATTCTGTGATTATGAGAGCAAGCATTCCATGTGGCTATTTCTGTTCACTGGAAGCTTAGAACTGCTTTGTAAAATTCAGAGCAGAGGGGAGGCTAGCACAGCCAAAATGTTCATCCATTATGTACTAGCAGAGCTGAGTTAAAAGGAACTCTTTTCTAAATGAGAGCTGGAAGAGGAGAAATCTTGTTTAGAAGGATTAAACTAGGTTTCCGAAAGTGGGGTAAAGATACTGCTTCAAGGGACACTTAAGAAATTGTGTCTACAAGTAGTGTATGTGTGGCAGAATATCGCTGCCAAGCTGGGCAGATTCCAAAGCAAAGCTAAGGACAGTCTACTGACTTAATCTCCATTTATGGTTTGTTTTTAAAAAGATCTGAGAGTAGTGGTTCTCAAAATGGTTTATAACATAAAGTTGGGCCCCCACATATATTCTATTAGATTGTGAACTCCTTGAGGACAAGGGCCGTCTTTTGCCTTTTTTGTAGCACTAATGCTAAGCACAATGCCTGCATAAGAGCAGGCACTTAAAAAATATTGATTGATTGGCTAATGTCCCTCTCAACTCTCCCTGCTCTATGGGTGTGTGACCTGAAGCAGCTCGGTGGCCAACTGGATAGAGTTCTGGACTCTCTGAGAATGGAAGATGTGAATTAAAACCCTCCCTCAGCTGCTAGCTGTGTGACCCTGGGTCAGTCACTTAACCTTGTTTGCCTCAGTCTCCTCAACTGTAAAATGATCTGGAGAAGGAAATGGCAAACCACTTCAGTATCTTTGCCAAGAAAACCCCAAATGGGGTCACAAAGAGTCTGACATGACTGAGACAACTGAACAACAACAACAACAATGAACCACTAATAGATTCTGAAGAAACAGACTGGGATATTCCCACTTTTTTCTTGAGTTTTACATCTAGGCTCCAGGAGCAGGTCTCAGGCTATATCAAAATTCTGTTTTTCATAGGCCATAGTCTCTTCTAGAATCTTGGCTCTGAGATGGAGACAGGAACCAAAGGGTGCCTGGGTGTGAAGGCTGAAGGGTTTTACATATTCAAGGCAGAGACAACAAACTACCCGAGCAATACAGCTATGATGGAAGGGCTTCCTGACGTAAGTGAGGATCTGACTCACGAGTCAATCTGCTACTTGAAAACATTCCTGGAGAAACTGCTTCCCCCTTTGGGCACTAACTTACTTCTCCTATCTGAGTTAGCTTAGATGAAGGAGAAAAGATGATTCAAAAAAATTCATAGGAAATTGCATGTTCCCTTTTCTTCAACAGCAACATTTTCGACGTGGAAGAAGGTGCTTCTAGTAAGTATCAGTGGAACTTCTGGGAAAAGACTGGTTTATTGGACACTTTAGAATGGGGGTAAGGATCTTTTTTTTTTTTTTTCTCTTGACAGTACCTGATAAACCAGAGGGGGGAAAATCAACTAAGGGCCACCCTTAAGTAAAAAGCAGTCTAATTTAAGGCTTTGTTGTTTCCACTTAAAAAAAAAGAGAGACAAATATAAAATATTTGACTCAAGTTATTTTTAAATGGGGAACACAAAACACTGGTCAGTAAGTATGAGTAACAAAATAGATTTCTGCTTCACCTGTTAACATCACTTGTTAATAGATTCAGAGCTAGAAGCATCTTAGAGGCTATTGACTATGGTTCAGTAGATAGAGAATTGGGCCTGGAGTCAGAAAGACCTGAGTTCAAATCCAGCCTCAGACACTTACTAGCTGTATGAGCCTGGGCAAGTCACTTAACCTTGTTTGCCTCAGTTTCCTCATCTGTAAAATGAGCTGGAGAAGGAAATGGTGAGCCACTCCAGTATCTTTGACTCCAAACGAGGTCATGAAGAGTCAGACACAACTGGACAATAATTAATAACTTCTCATTTTAAAGATGAGACACTGAGAGATTTAATGGCTTGCTCAGAGTCACACAGCTAATAAGTAAGTGTCTGAGGGGGACAATGGAGGGGGAAAGCAAGGCCAACCTCAGACATGAAGGTCCTGAATATTTGACATCAGAGGAAAGGATCGCTGTCATTGAAATTCTGGTGAAATACACTTTCTGCACGGGCAAATAGCCAGTCTACCTTTCTTTTCAAATTCCAAGGTATAGGTTGGAAAGAATTGTTTATTTTCCAAGGGAATTCTGAAGGGATGGCTTAGAAATATGCTTTGGAACCCTGGGGTTTGTTGGATCAAATTATTGCTTCAGATCCCCTTTGACATGCAAGAGTTGTCAAGGGCGTGGAAGGCTCTAGTTTAAGTAAAAATCTTAAAAATTGCACCATTAAATATTTCCTAAAGGATTGCGACATGTTGTCTAGATGCCAATCAAATAGAAGAAAGGGCACTGAGAGCAAGCTTCTGACCTCTCCACAAACATCTAAGATTTAAGGGAGGTCTTTTCCTATGAACAAGTTGTCAGTGTCTAGGGAGGGCTGGGAGGGCAGCAGTGGAAGGAAATAAGCATTTATGAAGTACCTATTACATGCCAGATGCTGTGATAAGCCAGTATTATTTGATCCTCACAACAACCCTAGGAGGTGAGTGCTATTATTATCCCCATTTTACAGTTGTGGGAAACTGAGGCAGACAGTAGATAAGTGACTTGCCCAGGGGC